AATCCCTTCTCCTCCATTCTCCTCTCGGGATCTTGGGCACGCACACACACGTGACCGGCGTGAGTTTTCAGCCACCGGGTCCGGGACATGAACAGTGGTGGACTACATGGGAGTCCAGGGACACAGCCATTAATGCTAACTGCTGGTTCCCCCAACACGCTTTTTAATAAAATTTTAAAAAAAAAGAAAGAAAGAAAGAGAAGAGGGAAGGTCAACGAGGATGAATTTGATCCTGGTGAGAAGTCTATCATTAGATTGTAAAATTGTCTACATGGGAGAGGAGAATACAGAAATACTGAAGGAAATAACATTTAAAAACAACAAACATATTCACCATAATAGAATGTGGCTTCTTACTTTTTTTCTTCTTTATTTTCTCGTCTCCTCTCTTGTTTTTGTCTCTGGAACTCCTTCTTTGGGATCCTCTTTCTGAAATGTCGCTCACTTCAGACTGCATCTCCTTCCACAGCCCTCGATATCTATCTTTTCTCCTGCTGTAATTCTCCATTTTTCTCATTATGCATTCTCCTACATCTCAGATACTCAATCACATCTTAAACGAAATGCATTTCTAACCCATCCTAAATCCTTTTCTCAAACATCTCCCTACAGGCTCCTTGGTCATAGCTCTTCTCCAAGAAATCAATAACCAATTTTTCTTCACTTATTAACACAGTTTTTCTTTCTCCTCAAGATGTTCTCCTTTCTCTCTTTACCGTTCTTCCTTTCCTTTGGTACTGGCTTCCGTCTTTTTCCCCAGGAATTCATTCCTGTCTCTGTTCTTAGAGCATCAGACTTTCCTCTCTCTATCCTTTCAGGATCAATAATGCTCTTCTTGGCTCTAATTTCTCCTCTCTGACTTTCAATACTTCAGTTATCTGCTTCTCATTCCTTCTTCAGCTTCACTCCTTTATCTGCCTCATTCACGGATATCTTCGCCTACAGTATCTTTCTCTCCCATAGAAACAGATTCATTGGTAATACTGTTCACTTCACGCAAGGTGTCCCCTTCAACTTCCACCCCTTCCTCAATCCTTTCAAGTTCTTTGTTACTCCCTTCTACTCGTACCAAAGGGATTTCCAGCTCATCATCAATAAATTCTGTCATTCTTTCATCACCAGTATCTTTTACCACTCTTTCATTTTTCTCTTCATCTATGCTCCCCATTCTTGTATCTTTCAACTTCTCTCCTCCAATCTCCAGCTTCTCCCCACTAGTTCCTAGGTTCTCCTCACTAGATCCCAGATTCTCTGCACTTGATCCCATTCTATCCTCAATGGATTTGAAATCCTCTCCAGTTGACCTCAGCTTTTCTCCTCCACTCGACCTTCGCCTCTCTCCAGCGAACCTCAGCTTCTCTCCCAAACTCGACCTTCGCCTCTCTCCACTGAATCTTGGCTTCTCTCCGCTGGAGTCCAGCTTCTCTCCCACACTTGACATTCGCCCCTCTCTGATGCTGAACCTCCGCTTCTCTCCACTGGGCTCCATCGTCTCTTCACTCCATCTCAGCTTCTCTCCTCCACTCGATCTCCGTCTCTCTCCACTGAACCTCTGCTTTTCTCCACTGGGCTCCAGCTTCTCTCCCACACTTGACATTCGCCGCTCTCTACTGAACTTCCGCTTCTCTCCACTGGGCTCCATCGTCTCTCCACTCCATCTCACCTTCTCTCCTCCACTTGATTTCCGTCTCTCTCCACTGAAACTTGGCTTCTCTCCACCGGACTCCAGCTTCTCTCCCACACTTGACATTCGCCGCTCTCTACTGAACTTCCGCTTCTCTCCACTAGACTCCACTGTCTCTTCTCTCCATCTCAGCTTCTCTCCTGTACTTGATTTCTGCCTCTCTCCACTGTGTCTCAACTTCTCTCTACCTGATCTGAGCTCCTCTCCACTGGATACCAGCTCCTCTCCACTGGACACCAGCTTCTCTCCACTGGATGCCAACTCCTCTTTACTGGATGCCAGCTTCTCTCCACTGGATGCCAACTTCTCTTTACTGGACACCAGCTTCTCTCTACTGGATGCCAACTTCTCTCTACTGGATGCCAACTCCTCTTTACTGGACACCAGCTTCTCTCCACTGGATGCCAACTTCTCTTTACTGGACACCAGCTTCTCTCTACTGGATGCCAACTTCTCTCTACTGGATGCCAACTCCTCTTTACTGGACACCAGCTTCTCTCCACTGGATGCCAACTTCTCTTTACTGGACACCAGCTTCTCTCTACTGGATGCCAACTTCTCTCTACTGGATGCCAACTCCTCTTTACTGGACACCAGCCTCTCTCCATCTCTTTACTGGACACCAGCTGCTCTCCACTCAATCCCGACTTCTCGCCACTTGATCTCAATGCTTCTCCATTTGACTCCTGCTTCTCTCCACTTGACCTCTGTTTCCCTCCACTCCACCACAGCTCCTTCTCATTCTGCCCCAGTTCATAGCCTCTGGATCTCAAGTCCTCACCACTGATGCCCATCTTCTCAACAGACCTTAACTTCTCTTTAAACCCAGATCCCCTAGTCCCTGCTGTCCCCCCCATACTCTTAGATTCAGCCTCTGTTTTGAGTTGGACTTCCTGTCTTCCCCAAATTTCCCTTCGGCTGTCTTTCCCAAAACCTGCTGAAGCCTGCAATGTACTTGTTACACCATGCAGTAGCTTCATATCCATCCTGTCCTGACTCGGGCCTGACTCCTCTTTCAAGACGGTCTTTTCCACATCTTCTAGTCTCCAGTCGTCAGACTCAAGCTTGGGCTCCCACATCTTAGACTTTTGCGTATTTCTATCCAGGAGCTCCACTCTCTTCCCGATCACGATTAGCCCGTTCCAGGGCACCCACATTTTCTCTCGCTGCATCACTTTCCGCTTGCGGCCAACCTCCAGTGGCGACCGCCCGTGGACCTGGGCCTGGCCTGGGGCGCCCTGGACCCGAGCCTTGTCGCGACCCCTCGTCCCCTTAAACTGCTCCCCCTGCCGATCCCTCACGCTGGGAGCGGAAAACTTAACGGAATCCCTTTCTGCATAGGCATTGGCTCTTGCTCTCGACTCTGGTCCACCACCCCCCTCCCTCCTCCCCATTCCTCCCAGCCCACCCCACCCTGCCACCCACGCCCTCTTCCCGCCCCGCCCTCCGCCGGGCGGGGGCACGAGACGCGGCAAGTGCGCACGCGCAGGTCGCGCGTGGCGGTTGGAAGGCGGGGCCCAGAACAGCGGCGCGTGGGCGTCCACCGGCTGGTGGCGGGAGACCGACCTCTGAGACCCTAGAGGCCCGACCGCAGTCCTCACCCAGTTGTCCATTCCCGGCCCTCTCGGTTCCACAAGGCTCCTTAAAAGCTGGGGCCTGGTCACAGGAGCGGCAGGGGGGGCTAGCATCGTTAACAGTAGACCTGGTACCCAATCATAAGGCGTGGCTGCGGGGAAACGAGGTGGGAACCGCCCCCGCAAAGGTGACTCCTGGCAGGGAGGGGGCGAGTGTCTCCATCAGCTGATGAGCTTTCCACTCGGTTCATCGCGCAGAATTACCCGGGACGAAGCTGCGGGAGCGCACGGGCGGGGGCTGGCGGCGGAATTAAGGCGTGGCTGCGGGGAAACGAGGTGGGAACCGCCCCCGCAAAGGTGACTCCTGGCAGGGAGGGGGCGAGTGTCTCCATCAGCTGATGAGCTTTCCACTCGGTTCATCGCGCAGAATTACCCGGGACGAAGCTGCGGGAGCGCACGGGCGGGGGCTGGCGGCGGAATCCCGTGTGCTGCGGCCGAGGAGAGTGATGGAGGAGCATCAGGAGTCTGGGAAAGAGAGCAAGGTAGATAGAATGAAAACCCCTCCCTACCTCCTCGGTCCGTGATACCCAGTGATAGCCGTTCAGAGCGTGCTCTGTGTGTGTGTGTGTGTGTGGGAGACCTGAACAAGGAGCGGGATATTTCTATGGTATGGGAACTGGTGTGGTGAGGATGTCAAGGGAGACAAGGATTTACTTTTGCTCTGACAGAGGGAACAGGGCCTGTCACTGTCATTCCTGCCCTCCCCAGGATTGACTCACCCCACCTTGATGGGGAAGAAGAGGAAAGTGGATGTTAGGGATTAAGAAGGCGCTGGCATCTTCTTTCCTAAGGTGGGGAAATTCGGTTCACCATTAATGGCTTTGCTTGTGTATCTGGGTTCACATAAGACCACTCATTCCGGGCTGGCAGGTGGCGGTGGTTGGGGGCACTGGACTCCCACATGGCTCAGTGCGGTTCATGTCATGGACCTGGTGACTTTTTTCCCCACTTTCCTTCTCTGGTCAAATTAAAATAAGTAAAGTTAAATAAAATAATTCTTAAAAAAAAAAAAAAAGAAAAAGAAAAAAAGAAAGAAAATAAAAGATTAGAAGAAAAAAATGAGTTGTTTTTTTTTTAATGAATTTTTTTAAAAGACAACTCAGAGGACCAGCAGGTGGCATGGTGGTTAAGGCGTTGGATGTTTCTACATGGCTGACCAAGTCCTGAATCTGGTGGCTTGCTTTCTTGCTTCCTCTTTTTCTCTCTCTCTGGTCAAATTAAATGAATGAATAAATAAAATTAAGTAATTCTTAAAAATAAAAAAAGACAACTCATCCTTCTTTCTTTTTGACTTAATTCAACAAATAGGTATTGAGTATCTACATTGTGGCAAAGATAGTTATGGCATGCAGAGGTGTACTTAGGGGGTGGGGGAGTTGGAGGCATGTGCATAGTAGACCAAAGCTGAGGATGAGGATGGAAGAGCTGTGGTCCATCCGTAAAGTCCCATCTCCCTCAACCAGCTACCAAGCAGTGTAGGTCAGAGCAGAGAGCCATGTGGAAACGAGACAGAGAAAGGGAAAGTGAGAAAGCAAGCCACCAGGTTTAAGATTTGAACTGCGATCAGCCATATGGGAGTCCAGCATCACAACCACCACGCAACCTGCCGGCCCCAGTAATACCATTCTTATACAGATTACTCCAGAAAACAGAATTAAATTGCAACATTTCCAGCTCACTCTAGAACAGCTTAACCTTGATACAAAACTCTATCAAGAGGAGAAATGAATGGTAGTGATGACTGTACATGATGTAAACCACCAGGTCCAGGACTCATACTGTGGTCAACTACATGGGAGTCCAGCAACATAGCCATTGCACCAACTGCTGGTCCCTAGGAAGCTTTATTTTGTATTTTTTGTTATTTTTTAAGCTTTTGGCCATAGGACCACCGAGCATGTGTACTCACTAGAGAGACAGAAATATACAAAGACAGGGAAAGTGAGAAGTCACCCCCACTCCCAGGGGGGATGGCCATGCTGCATCCCTTCTCTTCCATTTGCCTCTTGGGATTTTGGGCACTTAGACACACCTGGCGAACTTTTCAAGCCGTCAGGTCTGGGACTCAAACCGCCAAAGGCCATGTGGGAATCCAGCATCTTAATCACCATGCTACCTGCTGGCCCCAGAAAGGAGCTTTATTAATCTGATAAAGATGATCTAAAAACACCTCTGAAATCTGAGTCAAGGGTTTTCCTTATATCCATATCTCACATCTGTATTGTAGTGGAGATCCTAGCAAATACAGTAAGGTGAGAAAATGAAATAAAATTATATCAGGGGCCAGCCGTAGCATAGTGGTGAAGATGGTTGGATCCTACATGACCGACTACATGGTGTAAGTCCCTGATCTAGTGGCTCAAAAAGCATGCTGGGTACAATTATATGGGTGCCCAAAATCCAGAGAGGAGAAGGAGAAGGGATTGTGGCATGGCCATCCCCATGGGGGACTTTCTCACTCTCATTGGTAAGTGGCACACACCCTATAGAAAACTAAAAAAAAAAAAAGTATATTGGACCAACCCTGTAGCACAGCAGTTAGGTACTGTGCAGAGAAAGGTGAATCCCATATGACCTAACCAGTGTTCGAGTTCTGGCTCCGTTGGCTTGAAAAACACACCAGGAGGGGCCAGCAGGTGGCATGGTTAGGGCGCTGAACTCCCTCATGGTCAACCATGATTCTAGTCCCAGACCTGATAGCTTGCATTCTCAGTTTCCCTTCCTCTCTCGGTGAACATATGTACCCTATAGCAAATTAAATAATAATAATATTTTTTTACTTTATTTATTTTATTTTATCTTAATTTGACCAGAGAGGGACAGAGAGACAGAGAGAGAGAAGGCAAGTAAGAAAGCAAGCTACAAGGTCTGGGACTACTCGAACTGCAGTCAGCCATGTGGCAGTCCAGCTCCTTTAACCACCATGCCACCTGCTGGCCCCAATAAATTTTTTTGTTGTTGAGAGGTTTTTAATATAGGGCGCGTGCGCTCGCCAGCCAGACAGAGAGAGACAGGGAGGCAGAAAGCGAGAAATCACACCCCAGGGGGAATGGCCACGCCACAATCCCTTCTCCTCCATTCTCCTCTTGGGATCTTGGGCACGTATGCACGCACACGCACCCAGCGTGAGTTTAAGCCACCGGGTCCGGGATTTGACCTGCGGTCGACTACATGGGAGTCCAGCTACATAGCCATTATGCTAACTGCTGGTACCAGTAAATAATTATTTAAAAAATAAAGGAAAGAAAAAAGAAAAATATGCCAGGAATGCACATACATGCCCAAGATAGGAATGGAGAACTGGAAGAAAAAGGATTATGGTGTGACCAGTCCCTATTGGAAGTTGAACTCTCTCTTTCTCTCTCTCATGTGCATGTTTGCATGCACCCGCTAGTATTAAAAAAAAAGAAAGAAAGAAAGAAAGAAAGAAAGAAAAGGGGACCAACAGTTGGCGTCATGACTATGTCGCTGGGCCTGGTGGCTTAAACTCATGCCGGGCGCCTGAGCATGCATATCCAAGATCCCGAGAGAATGGAGAAGGGATTGCGGCGTAGCCATCCCCCCTTGGGAGGTTATTTCTTACTTTCTGTCTCTCTCTGTCTTTCGGTGAGTGCATGTACCCTACAGTAAAAAAACTCTCAAAAAAAAAGAAAGTATAGAGGTTGAAAAGGAAGAACTAGGGACTAGCAGGTGGTACAGTGGTTAAGGCACTGGACACTCCCACGTGGTTGACCGTGGTTCAAGTCCTGGACCCAGTGGCTCACTTTCTCACTTTCTTTCTCTCTCTCTCTCTTTCTCTCTCTGTCTCTCTCTGGTCAAATTAAAATAAATGAATGAGTAAATAATATATATATATTTTTTTTTTTGGAGAGGTTTTCTCTATAGGGCGCATGCGCTCGCCAGACAGACAGAGAGAGACATAGAGACAGAAAGCGAGAAATCACCCTCCAGAGGGGATGGTCATGCCACAATCCCTTCTCCTCCATTCTCTTCTCGGGATCTTAGGCACACACGCACACGCGTCCGGCGTGAGTTTTAAGCCACCGGGTCCGGGACGCGAACCACAGTTGACTATGTGGGAGTCCAGCAACATAGCCATTACGCTAACTGCTGGTTCCCAATAATATTTTTTAAAAAGAAAAGGTAGAACTAAAACTGTCATTATTTTAGATTATAGGATTACTTATGTAGGAAATCTAAGACTCTATAAACTATTAAGTTAATAAGTAAGGTATTTTAACAATTTATTAAAATGTATTAAGTAAATTTATCTGGACACAAGATAAATATATATTATTTTTAAAAACTTTTGTGGGGGCCAGCAGGTTGTGTGATGGTTAAGGTGCTCACTCCCACATGGCTGACCATGGTTCAAGTCCTAGACTTGTATACCAGCAATTAACAAGTAGAAAATAAAACTTTTTTTTTTCCAAAGAAAAAATACTTTAACATTTACATTACAAAATCTGAAGGTACGGGGCCAACAGATGGCGTATCAGTTACATTGCTGAACTCCCACATGGCTCCCAGGCCTGATGGCTTGAAAATCACTCTGGGCGCATGTGTGTGCATGCTCAAGATCCCAGGAGGAGAATGAAGGAGAAGGAATTGCAGCATGGTGCCGAGAGAATGGAGAAGGGATTGCGGCGTAGCCATCCCCCCTTGGGAGGTTATTTCTTATTATTTCAACCCCCTGGGGGGTTGATTTCTCTTTTCCTTTCACAATCTCTGTCTCTCTCTCTCTCTCTGATGAGCACACATGCCCTAAGGCAAAAACCTCTTAAAAAAAAAAAAAAAAGAGGGTGAACATTGGGAACAAATGTCCCACTCCAACAAAAGCACTACTTTAGGGGCCAGCAGGTGGCATGGTGGTCAAGGGCGCTAGACTCCTACATGGCATACCGTGATTCAAATCCTAGACCTGGCAACTTGCTTTCTCACTCTCTCTTTCTCTCTCTCTGTCTCTCTCTGGTCAAATTAAAAACTAATAGTAAGGTGGGACCAGCAGTTAGCGTAATGGCTATGTCGCTGGACTCCCATGTAGTTGACTGCGGTTCGCGTCTCGGACCTGGTGGCTTAAAATTCACACCAGGCGCATGTGCATGTGTGCCCAAGATCCCAAGAGGAGAATGGAGGAGAAGGGGTTGCGGCATGGCCAGCCCCCCTGGGAGGTGAGTTCTCACTTTCTGTCTCTCTGTCTCTCTCTTTCTGGCGAGCAAACAAACCTCTCCCCCCCAAGAAGAGAATGGAGGAGAGGGGATTGTGGCATGACCATTCTCCTTGAGAGGTGATTTCTCGCTTTCTGCCTCTCTGTCTCTCCCTGTCTCACTGGTAAACACATGTGCCATATAGCAAAAATCTAAAAAATGAAAATGGAACATAAATGCACATATTTTATAAAGATTCTAGAAGAGAAATGAATAGGATAACATCTACATGACCGTGGGGGTAGGCGCAGTTTTCAACAGGACACAAAAAGCTTTAACGATAGAAGACAAGACTGATAAATGAAGCTTGTAACAGTTTGAGTCATTAGAAGAATAAAACGGCCAATCACAGAGTGGGAGATATTGGCAGTGCATAGAACTAATAAAAGCTTTGTCTCCAGGAACAAAGAGTTCATACAAATCAATATGAAAAAGACGATCTGATTTTTTAAAGAATTATTTTATTGTATTGTATTTATTGTTGTTTTTTAATTTGACCAGAGAGAGAGTAAGGCAAAGGGACAAAGGAAGCCACCAGGTCGGCGACTTGAACCACAGCCGTGCGGGAGTCTAGCCCCTTAACCTAGACTATGCCACCTACTGGCCCAGACAATCTGATTTTTAAAAATTCTTTAATTTTATTTATTATTATTATTTTAGTTCACCAGGGAGAGAGAGAGAGAGAGAGAGAGAGAAAGCAAGTTGCTAGGTCTGGGACTCAAACCATAGCCAGCCATGCCAGTCCAGTGCCTTAACTACCATACCACCTGCTGTCTCCTGACAATCTGATTTTTAAAAGGCAACAGTAGAAAAGGCACAAAATTTGTGCACTCATTTGGAAAATGACTAGGCAGTATCTATGAAAGCATTTGTGTCAGCCCTGTAGCACAGCAGTTAAGTGCTATGCATTGAGAGCCAGATCCCACACAGATGACTGCAGTTTGAATCCTGGCCCCAGTAGCTTGAAAGACACACCAGGTGTGTAAGTATACATGCCTGGAACCCTGATGAGAGGGAGAAACGGAGGAAGGGCATTTGTGGCGTGATTGCCCTGTTAGGGGGTTCACATCTCAGGACCTCCTTGACCATACATGAAATGTAGATACAGGGACCAGCAGTTAGCGTAATGGCTATGTCACTGGACTCCCATGTAGTCGACTGCTGTTCAAATCCCAGACCCGGTGGTTTGAACTCACGCCAGGCACGTGTGGGTGTGTGCCCAAGATCCCGAGAGGAGAGGGGAGGAGAAGGGATTGTGGCGTGGCCATCCCCCCTAGGGGGGGGTGACTTCTCACTTTCTGTCTCTCTGTCTCTCTCTCTTTCTGGTGAGCGCATGTGCCCTATTCAAAAAAAAAAAAAAAATGCAATCCAGGTCTACTGAATCTGGTGGTGGATTGTAACTTAAAGACCTGTCGTGACCTCTCTCTTTCTCAGGAAATAAATAAGTGTTTAACTTTTGGGTGTGTGTGGGGTAAACAACGTAGAGAGAGAACACTGTAAAAGCGACTTCAGGGTCAATTCTTTGCTAGAGAGCAGGAAGGGAAGGCTCAGGCATCTCATTAGGGAAGAGAAATGAACAGACCAGCTGAAGGAGTCCTTGCCTGTTTCTGGACTCACATGTCACTGAGCCCCATCTTAGGGACTGCCACCAAAGTACGCCAAAACTAGTGAGGAGAGAGTGAGGAGGCCTCCAAGGGTGAGAGGTGGGGCAGGGGTCCTGATGTTGTCAGCAATGCTTAAAGGCAGAGTGGCCCCTAAGCCTCTTTCTTTCTCCCTAGTATTCAGCATAATGGTGTGGACACAGTAGGTGTTCAATAAAGGCAGTTGAATAGCTTAGTGCAAAGATGAACTGGTAGCTTTGTGCCTCACAGATCTTTTCATTTGGAGAAATACACATGCTTCGTCTGCAAGCTCTTGCCTCTTGGCAAGAATGGAAGTTTCAGCAACTAAGAAAAGGGGAGAACTTCTGGTCCAACTCACTTTAAGTCCTGGTGAAGGAATACATGAGGTAGCCAGCTGGGGAAGGGATTAGTGGCTGGAAAACTATAGTGTATGGAGTTGGGAATTAAGGAACTGGGTTCAAATATGGCCCTGCCACTTTGCATCTGTGGGACCTTAGCAAGTTACTTACCTTTCGGTGGTCTCAGCTTTGACATGCCCGCCTTGGCAATGGGAGGGTGGAAAATGTTTTGGTCAGTGTAAAGCTCTGAGCAGTGACTTACCAGGATCCAGGCTAGTGTCCCCAGGACACTGCAATAGTCCTGCTGCAGAGGGCTCTGCAGGAGGATCAGGGGC